AAGCCAGACTATAAAAGGGGGGACTACATAGGTTTGAGAAACTTCCTGCAGGAGGTTCAGTGGGCCAGAGAACTGGCAGGAAAGTCGGTAAACGAAATGATGGAATATGTAACAACAGAATGCAAGGAAAGGCTTATTCCCATGGGCAACAGAAATAATGAGAAGACAAGAACGAGCCCCTGGTTTACCCGACGGTGTAAGGAGGCAAAAACTAAGTGCAATAGAGAATGGAAGAAGTGCAGAAGGCGAAGAACACAGGAAAATATGGAGATTAGTCGCAGAGCCAGGAACGAGTATGCAGAGGTAAGGAGGGAGGCCCAGCGACAGTATGAAAATAACATAGCATCGAAAGTCAAGTCTGACCCGAAACTGCAGTACAGCCACATCAGGAGAAAGACAACAGTCAAAGACCAGGTGATCAGGCTGAGGAAAGAAGGTGGGGAACTCACAAGTAACGATCACGAGGTATGTGAAGAGCTCAACATGAGATTTAAGGAAATATTTACAGTAGAGACAGGAAGGGCTCTGGGAAGACAGCACGGAGGGGTACACCAACAGGGAATATACCATCAAGTGTTGGATGACATACAAACAACGGAGGAGGAGAAGGTGCAGAAGCTGCTAAGTGACCTTGATACCTCAAAGGCGATGGGTCTGGACAACATTTCCCTGTGGGTCCTTAGAGAAGGAGCAGAGAAGCTGTGCGTGCCACTAATCACAATCTTCAATACATCCCTTGAAACTGGGCAACTACCTGAGGTATGGAGGGCGGCAAATGTAGTCCCCATTTTTAAGAAAGGAGACAGAAATGAGGCACTAAACTAAAGACCAGTGTCTCTGACGTGTATAGTATGAAAAGTCATGGAGAAGAGTATCAGGAGGAGAGTGGCGGAACACCTGGAAGGGAACAAGATTATAAACGATAACCAGCAGGGATTCATGGAAGGAAAATCCTGTGTCACAAACCTTCTGGAGTTCTATGACAAGGTAACAGAAGTAAGACACGAGAGAGAAGGATGGGTTGATTGCATTTTCCTGGACTCCAGGAAGGCCTTCGACACAGTTTCTCACAGGAGATTAGTGCAGAAGCTGGAGGACCAGGCGCATATAACAGGAAGGGCACTGCAATGGATCAGAGAATACCTGACAGGGAGGCAACAACGAGTCATGGTACGTGATGAGGTGTCACAGTGGGCGCCTGTGACGAGCGGGGTCCTACAGGGGTCAGTCCTACAGGGTCAGTGCTATTTTTGATATATGTGAATGACATGATGGAAGGCATAGACTCTGAAGTGTCCTTGTTCGCAGATGATGTGAAGTTAACGAGAAGAATTAAATCAGATGAGGATCAGGCAGGACTACAAAGAGATCTGAACAGGCTGGACACATGGTCCAGCAACTGGCTTCTCGAATTCAACCCTGCCAAATGCAAAGTCATGAAGATTGGGGAAGGGCAAAGAAGACCGCATACACAGAATAGGCTAGGTGGACAAAGACTGTAAACCTCACTCAGTTAGAAAGATCTTGGGGAGATCATAACACCGAGCACGTCTCCGGAGGCACACATCAACCAGATAACTGCTGCAGCATATGGGCGCTTACCAAACCTGAGAATAGCGTTCCGATACCTCAGTAAGGAATCGTTCAATACACTGTACACTGTATACGTCAGGCCCACACTAGAATATGCAGCACCAGTTTCGAACCCACACCTGGTCAAGCACGTCAAGAAATTAGAGAAAGTACAAAGGTTTGCAACAAGGCTAGTTCCGGAGCTCAGGGGAACGTCCTACGAAGAAAGGTTAAGAGAAATCGGTCTGACAACACTGGAGGACAGGAGGGTCATGAGAGACATGATAACGACATACAAAATACTGCATGGAATAGACAAGGTGGACAGAGACAGGATGTTCTAGAGATGGACACAGAAACAAGGGGTCACAATTGGAAGCTGAAGACTCAGATGAGTCAAAGAGATGTTAGGAAGTATTTCTTCAGTCATAGAGTAGTTAGGAAGTGGAATAGTCTGGCAAGCGATGTAGTGGAGGCAGGAACTATACATAATTTTAAGACGAGGTATGGTTAAGCTCATGGAGCAGGAGGAGAGAGGACCTAGTAGTGGTCGGTGAAGAGGCGGGGCCAGGAGATGAATCTCGACCCCTGCAACCACAATTAGGTTAGTACAATTAGGTGAGTACACACACGGGTAATGCTTTATTTACAGTGAACAAAGTCAGGGTATTTTTCTAGAGTGGTTTGTAATATAACACTGTGGTTAAAATACTTTGCCATTTCTTGAATATTTCTGGATTCATTAATTTTATCGCACTCCAGTACATAATGACGCAGGGTGTGACAATAGTCCATCTGGTAAAGTTTACATTTCGTTTGGTCTACATCTGGTGGTGGTGATTTAACCTGCCAAAGATACTTGTAACCCAGCTGGAGCCGGGCGGTAGTGACATCTAAGAGTCTGCTTATTTTGTTGGATGCACCATGGACATGTGGCTCCTCCTGCATGATAGACATGTGGCTCCTCCTGCATGATAGAATGATGATAGATGGACTGACTTGTGTCGATCTCCCTGAGTCTTAAGTCAGTAAAGTTCATTTGAAGTTCTTTTCGTATTATTGTTGTGAAACTGCTGACATCCCAAGATTGTAATCTACTCCCTCTTTGAAAGAGTATAACTTAGCCAATTCATCAGTTCTATCATGCATCTGAAGACCAATGTGAGATGGAATCCAAAGCATGTGCACTCTGACTCTACTGTCCACAATCTTACCATACCTGTGTCTGGCTTCTGACACAAGCATGCCACAATTCATACTTAATGAATTGAGAGCATTTATGGACGACAGAGAATCAGTTACAATTAAAGTGTCAACCTAAGATACATGGACGCATTTGAGTGCAAGGAATATGGCAAACAGTTCTGTTTGAAGGGTTGAGGCCCAGTTATTGATAAGAACATAAGAACATAAGAAAGAAGGAACACGGCAACAGGCCTACTGACCCATGCGGAGCAGGTCCATGTCCCCCCCCCCGGATTAGCCCAATGACCCACCCAGTCTGGTCACCTCCACTCAAGGAAGGAGCACGGCACCAGACCCAGCAGCACAAGCTAGTCAGGTCCAACTCACACCCACCCACACCCACTCATGTATTTATTTAACCTATTTTTAAAACTACACAACGTTTTAGTCTGAATAACTGTACTCGGGAGTTTGTTCCACTCATCCACAACTCCATTACCAAACCAGTGCTTTCCTATATCCTTCCTGAATCTGAATTTTTCCAACTTGAAACCATTGCTGCGAGTCCTGTCTTGGCTGGAAATTTTCAGCACGCTATTTACATCCCCTTTATTTATTCCTGTTTTCCATTTATACACTCGATCATATCCCCCCTAATTCTACGCCTTTTTTGCGTGCTCCAATTTCTTTTTGAGAGCCATCACTCCGAATGCACACACTAATATGCGTTTCAGCGCCACGTTAACCGTGTTCCAGCAGCTAGGGAGCCAGAAGAAGAAAACACATTGACTCTTACTCGCTCCCTGGCTGCCTTTCCCCAGAAACACAGACAGTAGTATCCAATGACCACATACCCAGCCAAAACATCCCAACATACCATCAAAGTACCGGCACTCTACCGTCCATCTGTACAGCTCAAGCTCCACATGATCACCGGGTGGCCTGGTGGCTAAAGCTCCCGCTTCACACACGGAGGGGCCTGGGTTCGATTCCCGGCGGGTGGAAACATTTCGACATGTTTCTTTACACCTATTGTCCTGTTCACCTAGCAGCAGATAGGTACCTGGGTGTTAGTCGACTGGTGTGGGTCGCATCCTGGGGGACAAGATTGAGGACCCCAATGGAATAAGTTAGACAGTCCTCGATGACGCACTGACTTTCTTGGGTTATCCTGGGTGGCTAACCCTCCGGGGTTAAAAATCCGAACGAAATCTTATCATACACCAACAGCATGTCATATTTAAAACAAAGTATCTCGCCTGCATTTACTCTCATCTCACACAGGCTTGTCTCTGCCTCTCATCAAACCTGTCCCTCAAGGAAGGTCCCTTGATGCTGGAGAGGGGCTTTTGATCTAAGGAATTGGATCTGCGCTCCAGTTCCCTTAGCCTGGATTCCTCCCATCCCCTCCTCCCACAGGCGATGTATAATCCCTACGGGTTTAGCTCTCCCTCATAATAATAATAATAATAATAATAATAATCAGAAAACCTCTGTGATTATCGTCGTTTTTCTCCGCCTGTTTAGAATAAAGAATTAAGTCATATCACGCCACTTGGGCAACATTTGCGAAACTTTATTCTGAAGACGTTTCGCCACCCAGTGGCTTCTTCAGTCTAATACAGAGAAAAGTGAAAGATAAGAAAAAATTTGAGGTAATTAGTTTCTCATTCTGGAGTCGATGTGTTCGGTTTATCAAGATTAATGGATCCAACACATCGACTCCAGGCTGAGGGACTGATTACCTCAAACTCTTCATCAGAATGGTGTCCCGTGGCTCGGTAGGCAACACTTTCGCTTCGCACGCAGTGTCCGTGGTTCGATCCCCGGCAAGTGTGTGTTTCCTTACACATTGTTGTTCATATTTACTTAATCAGCAAGTAAGTACCTAGGTGTTGTCGGAATTATAAACACAAATGCAGTATAATGTGATCCTTTATTGACAACGTTTCACCCACACAGTGGGCTTTTTCAAGTCACACACGGATCTACCTGGGGTTGGAAGGTACGAGAGTATTTATAGGTGTTGTCGACTGGAGTGGGTCGCATCCTGGGGGACAAGATTTAAAGACCCCAGTGGAAATAAGATAGCCTGTCTTGGGTTACCCTGGGTGACTAACCCCCCGGAGTTAAAAATCCGAACAAAATCTTTTCTCACCTATATCACTAATTCACTGCCCTGATTTCGTTGCGAGAAATATCCATCATTCAAAAGCGATTTAACTCGAAGTAATATTCCTCACCTTCATAGTTGTTGTGATGACCCAGCCAGGTTGGCAGCCAGAGTTCTAATGGAAGGATCCAGTCTTCTGGTCTGAGTATTTATAGACCACGGTGTACGGCTCTGTCCCATCATCTACTTGAGGTACAACGGCCAGAGAGGCGCCCACACCACCGATTTCTCGGCCCTGACCCCCCCCCCCGCCCCCACCTGTTGACTTTAGCGGATCTGTAATAATGTCACTGCGGGTCTTCCTGCAGGAGGCCCGCAAGAAACTCGTGTGGGTCCGCCAAGTTACTGACGTGTTAGGCAGAGAACACTTGTAAACACCCATAACGGAAAATAACAATGCAGAGACATTCATGTGTCCTACCCCCAAACCCCCTCCTCCACCCTATAACCCACCGCCTCCACCTCCTCCTCCTCTCGTCCCTCATCTTCCTCGGATCGACATGGCAGGTGGTTGGAGCCTACATGTACCTTTGCACTTAACTGTAGTACTACTGCTGTCTCTCTCTCTCTCTCTCTCTCTCTCTCTCTCTCTCTCTCTCTCTCTCTCTCTTTATACAGGGTTTGACAAGGTTAGGTTAAGGATCCCTAGCTTTATTAACAAGCTAAGAGCTGTTACCTACATCAGCTCATTTGAAAGCATTTTTATTGTTATGAAACATATAAGTAAGGAACAGGATGAAGTTGGAGCCATCTGTGGGCCAGCATTTTCATCTGATAAACTGACTTTATCTCGTTGACATCATAATGCTGTACGAATGTGTTCCATACTCGAGTCATCCTGGGCATAAATGATCTCAGATGAAGTGATGTTCTGGAGAAGGGTACAGCCAGAGTAAAGTTGCTGCTTTCTGCCCGTCTTGTGGCATAAAAGCTTGTTTCACGCTGTCCTCGAAGTGGATCCAAGTGTGGTACTTTGACAATGTTGGCCTTTCTCTCTCTCTCTCTCTCTCTCTCTCTCTCTCTCTCTCTCTCTCTCTCTCTCTCTCTCTCTCTCTCTCTCTCTCTCTCTCTCTCTCTCTCTTTCTCTCTCTCTATCTATCTATCTATTTATCTATCGATCTATCTACTAATCTATCTATCTGTATATCTATCTATCTCTCTCCAGCTACTGTGAGTCCCATCATCTCTTTAAGACAGAAAAAAAATACCCGGAATAAAAGCAATTACTCGGTTTGATTATAGTTTTTAAAAAGGGGAAAAAGGGCTACAG